AATGTTATATCTTTGATGTCCAGGGATTTCAAGGACCACATTTCACATGGTTGCTGAGCTCTAGGCCCTCACTCGCCCACGGTGTCAGATGCTGATAGTAATTGTACATATTTATCAACTCAAACTTTTTAAATCTCTCTCTACACAGTCACATGCTGACATTCTTTATTGACAATAATTATTTTTTCTGAACTATTCTTCCTGCTTTTGCGGAGAGTTCATCCCTGCTCAGCTTTGCCAGCATCAGGTGAAAGGTCGGCAATTCCCCAATTTAACATTTTGAAACGGGGCTATGATATTGACAAGAGAGAAAGGAATCTGAGGCGGACAAAAATATTTAAGCAGAGTAATGATAGGCGGACGATTTTGGGGACGAAACTGAAGGGTGAAACAATCCCAACAACAATTATTAATTTGATTTTGTTTCATTTATCGTCTTTTGATTTCGTTTTCAAAATCGTCCCGCCCATCATTATTCATTTAAGAAAAAAAAACATACAACTGTGAATTTTTTTCGAGCGTAAATTATTTTTATAAAAAAAAAATTAATTTTTTACAAATATTTTTACTACGCTGTAGAGGATGAGGAAAGGGAATCGGGGGTGTTAAACATCAAACCAGGGGTGGTGGGTGCGGTTCTATTTTTATTGTAATTAAAATTGAATTGTTTAATTAAAATTTTAGATTTTAAATTTTAATAATTATTTATTAAATTAAAAATATAAATTTTATTAATTTCAATTATATTTTAAAGAGTAAATCATTCAAAATAATTTGTTTTAATTAAAAAATTATTAAAAATAATTATTAAAAAATTTTGGGGAAGGCTCCACATTTTAAGGTAAGATAACTTTTAATAATATTAAGACAATCACTCAAATTACTTGAGTTCTTCATATGATTTTGTTAATTTTTTTGACCTTTTGTTAACTGTGATTAACTTTTATACTTAATTTTAATTATTGCGCTCGTAATTATTTTTGTACGGAAAAAATAAGACCAAAAATTTATCAACCACAATTTACCAAAAATATCTCTGCAGAGATAATTAATAAAATGTGGAGAATTATATTAAAGCGATTAATACAAAGATTGTGAGCTGTAAAATGATTATCAGCTACATGGTTTTTGGGCCCTCACAACTTCTTGGTTTTATGCATTAAATGTTCTTAAATTTGGGGTTAAAGTGCACTCATTTATTTATTGTAATTGTTGTTAATAAAAAAGGCAGGCTGTTACTTGCATTTCAATTTCTAATTCGTTTGGAAAAAATTTTTGCCATGCAGCTGGTTGCAAGCGTGACAACAATTTTGGAATAATTTTGACAATGCTAATCTCGAAACAATAACCTCCGTAAAGAATTCTACAATTTAATCAACAGTGATTTGGTCTCTTTCCTATGCTACCTTCTTCTTGGCCCTCCCATTTTTTCTTTTCATAAATTCCAAGACACAACAACACGCCCTCCTCTCCCCTCCCCCCCCCAAAAAAAACAAAAAACCCTGTAAAACGATTATCATCTGCTTAGTTTTTTTGACCATCACAACTTCTTAGTTAAATGCATTAAATGTTCTAAAATTTGTGGTTAAAGTACACTCATTTATTGTAATTGTTGTTAATAAAAAGGACAGGCTGTTATTCTAAAAAGACATGGTGCTGGTGGATGTAATGTTGGAGAAGTTGGAGGTCTGGCTCCAAATATTTCCAGGCAAGTGTTTAAGTGTATGGTGGTGCCTCACATTTATTTTCTACATTATTCATGAATGTAGGCACCCTCCTTCCTTTCCTTTCCCTTTTAAAAATCCATTTAACAAAGGAAATGCAGTTTATTTTAGTTCAAGAAGTAATTGGCACTGCTAAATGATTTTTTTCCTTGTTGGCAGCTGTGTTAGAGAAGGATTGGATCTTGTTAAAGAGGCTATCAACAGAACAGGTTTTAATGACAGAATAAAGATAGCGATTGATGTTGGTGCTACTGAGTTCTGCATAGGTGATGATGCATAATTTCCCCCAAAATTAGTCAAATTAGCAATTGAAGCATGTGAGAAAGGGGATGGAGCATTGG